AATGCATGGTTATTTGTCTATGTTTCGTCCATTCGACATTTTATTTGTCTTGCCTATTTATAGGGACTAGAAGAATTAGATGCAACAGTCTATTTATATGTATACTGTAATAGAAAATATTGTGATTTACAAAGCATAGCTTAGATGTGGCACAAGGCTGAAAGTATGGAGCACGTAGTGAGAATCGAACTCTCTACTCAGTCGTAATTGTTCAAGCGAGACAATCTTGCTAACCATTGCACCACGTCGAGGTGTCCGAGATATTTACTAAACGTGGCTTAGACGTGGCACAAGGCTGAAAGTATGGAGCACCCAGTGGGGATCGAACACAATACTCAGTCGTAATTGATCTCGCTAGACAAACTTGCTAACCGTTAAGCCACGTTGAGATACCAACAAAATGATTTTTTAAACGTATCTTAGATGCGGCGCAAGGCCGAAAATGTGGAGCTCCCAGTGGGAATCGAACTCACTATTCAGACGTAATTGATTTAACGAGGCAAAATTGCAAACCATTGTCCCCGTCGAAGTTCCCTGGAATAAAAGTTATGTCACAGAAAAAAGATACGTCCTTACCGTAGATCTTATAATTGACTAGCAGCATGGCCCGGCGTTGCCCGTGCTTGATTCAAAAATCGTACGACTCATACAGCAATCGCTATTACTTGACTTAAAATATTTTTGCCCTTCCTTGCCTTTAAAGGAATGCCCTTTGCCGTGCTGATGTTGCTACATGCCTTACTTCTTGCCTATTTCACACTGCGAATTTTTTTCTAAGCTCTATACTAAACATTAAATCTGTTACGAAGAAAGAACTAAACAAAATGAACACAAAAAGATCAGCTTTAAAAAAAGACTCGTAACTGGAAAAACCGAATGAAAAAAGAATGTTAACAACAAATACTTTTTCACACCAAACCTAGTTCTGCGGAATCAGAATCAACGTTAAGTTTAAGCAAGCGAATGAGCCAACTGGAGTAAAGTGCCATGCAGATTTAAATTTTCCCCACTTGTGACGAATGCAGCAATCGATTTTTTTAATGCTAGCATGCTAGTTAATATTCGTGTCAGTCAGCTGTTGGCTCTCACGCTGGACAATGGAATCTTCCTGCCTATTCGTGGCAGCCAGCTATAGGCTCTCACTCTGGCCAGTACAAAATGGTCGCAAATTACATGAAAACTGCCATAGAAGCATGAAAAAATCGATTATTTCCACTATCGATGGGAGTTGGGAAATGCAAAGTTGGTCTTGGCCTTCCCGCTAACTTGGAGCATGTGCATGCAAATTTTGGTGCAAATCCGTCGAAAATTGCGGCCCTGCATTCGTTACACACACACACACACACACACACACACACACACACACACACATCCTGCCTATTATAGATAGAGATTAACATTGATAACTAATAATAAAATAGAACAATTATCACAATAGTTACCACCTGGCACAGGGCTCCGTCCCTGTGCTGGTGGTATCACGGGTACGACTAACTTGGACCGGCTCTGACCAATTTGGACCAGCTGTGACAAGCCAAGACTAGCTTAGACCAGCTCTGACCAGCTTGGACAAATTATGACCAGCTTAGATCAGCTTAGACCAGCGGACCGAGTGAAAACACTCGGGTCTCCCACGTTATAAACTGACCTTGTGTCACAACCTGACTCAGTGGGGGGTCAAGTAAATACCTATACTACAGTTAGAGATCTTCCTTCAAATCTACAGATCTACCATTTGTCCCTGCATTGAATAAAACTTATAGCTCATATATAACCCGACCTCAGTTTTTGAACAATACTAGTAGGCCTACCGTAGTCAAATATCGGAGTACTGGTCACCATCTTGAACATATTTTATAGCAAATAAAGGGTCTTCATTCTTTTTTGTACAACTCTATCACAAAATGATGTGAAAACCCAGTTACCGTAAGACATCTGATACAACAATTAAGGTACTGTAATTTTTGTTTTTGTTCATGTCTAAGGTAGATCCTTTAAGCTGGGTCTACCTCCTACGTAGACAAAGTTTATTCTCTTTTCTCGCTACAGGAAAAGCAAAACCGCATCCATTATATACAGCATTTAAAATCAACACATACTTCATATAAATGAAGAATCAATAGACTTTTTCCTATCTCAATTTTGCATTCATCTTCGTTTCGCAAGTGTTTACATCGCTCAGGTATTGCCTTTCCAATGACAACCTTTTGGTCAGGATTACCGGTCAGTCAGTTATGTGCTATGCATTATACACGATCATGTATCTTTCGATGCATGATTGACGGGGCAGATTTTTTTTCCCGCAGTAGGTTGCCATTTCTTTCTGCGGTAGACCAGTTGCCATCCAAGGCTATAGAACCCGGTCTGTCCTGCTATTTACCCATAGCAGGGGTGGAGAAGAAGATTCATACCTTTCCCATGTGTATTAGCACGTATGTGAAAATCAGTTCAATTATGCGCCATGCCTGATACACGCTTAGACGATCATGTATCTTTCGATGCATGACTGACGAGGCAGATTTTTTCCCGCAGTAGGTTGCCATTTCTTTCAGGTTAGTGTTATTTAGTTTTTGCCAAAAAAAGGGAATCTAACTGCTTGCTTTCAACACCTACATTATCTTGCTTAGTTACCCATAGCTGAGGGGAGAAGAAGAGGATTCATAGCTTTCCTAAGGGTCAATCAGTCAGTTATGTAATACACGTTCAGGCGATCATGTATCTTTCGATACATGACTGACGAGGCAGATTTTTTTCCCGCGGTAGGTTGCCATTTCTTTCTGTGGTAGACCAGTTGCCATCCAACGCTATAGAACCCGATCTGTCCTACTATTTACCCATAGCTGGGGGGGTGAAGAAGAGAATTCATACCTTTCCCAGGAGTATTAGCACGTAAGAGAATGTAATGGGTTCGACTGTGTTTATATTATACAAAAACTTCGATATTTTTAATTGTAGAAAAATCTTTTCTCCAAAGAAAAAATTATCAGCTTTTTTTTTTGTTTTTTTTTTCTCCATTTCTAAGGCCGACGCTTACAGGTACGTTCATCTGTCGTGAAAATGGCTGTGCCATCGTCAAGTAACAATAACCTTGAATCTTTATGATGAGGCCTATCTCGTACGGACCATTTGTCGGAAAATGTTTACCGATACCTGTCGTAGATCATCGGCATTGTTTCCGGCTTGAGACAAAAAATATCTTCATGTCATTTGTGGTCTGTCCGTGATTATAGCCGACGTCTTGTTGACGTCTTTGTCTGTATTTATAGTTCCTGGTAAACATGACATGCACAAACTGCACCTCTTCTGGGTTTTTTTTTTATTATTTATTTTGTCAAAGAATCAGACGGAGGTGTGGCATCTTATATTTTTTTCTTATCGCTGTCCTGGTCAAGCGATCTTTAATGCTGTCGGTGAATCTCTATACAAGATTAATGCCTTCTAAACATAAATCGTTCTCTGCAGGACAATGAACAATTCTATAGTTTTTTTTTTCTTTTTTTTACTCAATTTCGCCAGAAAAGTCAAATATTAGAACACAGTAATAATTTAAGACTATCCATTATTCTATTATTATTATCATATCTTATAGATTATCAAAATTATTTTCGTTTCTTACAGATCAACGCTGATTTTATGTACACGTCTAACGAATAAAATTTTTTATTATTATTATTATTATTATTATTATTATTATTATTATTATTATAAAATGGGGAAGTCGTTGATTTGGGATGCGACCTGTGCGGATACATTTCCGGCCGGTAATTTGATCTGGTCTGAAGTTGAGCCGGGAATGTGTCGCTCGGGGCGTGGAGATAAAAAAAATAGTTAAATATTCTTCTCTTGTTGATAGATTTTATTTTACTCCTGTGGCAGTGGAGACTTCTGGGGTTATTGCCCATCGTTCGATGACGTTCCTTCGGAGGATTGGCGCGATTGCGTCTCGATTAAGGGACGAGCCTCGCGAAACGGAGCGGCTCTTGAAGCGTGTCTCACTGGCGATGGTTCGAGGTAATGCTTTCTCCATCATTGCGGCTGGCAGAGGATAGAAAAAAAAGAATTGTTTATAGTTACTTTGTTCAAACTTTTTTTTTCGGTAAATAAATTTCCCTATATATTATTATTATTATTATTATTATTATTATTATTATTATTATTATTATAGTGTATTGACATAGCTGAAGGGAGAAGAAGAGGATTCATACCTTTACCAAGGGTCAATCAGTCAGCTATGTAATACACGTTCAGGCGATCATGTATCTTTCGATACATGACTGACGAGGCAGATTTTTTTCCCGCGGTAGGTTGCCATTTCTTTCTGCGGTAGACCAGTTGCCATCCAAGGCTATAGAACCCCTTCTATCCTGCTATTTACCCATAGCTGGGGGGGGGGAGAAGTAGAGGATTCATACCTTTCCCAGGAGTATTAGCACGTGATATTATTATTATTATTATTAGAGTGTATTGACATTATCTGACCCTCTTCCTTTCTTTCTTTCTTCCTTTCTTTCTTTCTTTCTTTCTTTCATTCTTTCTTATATTATTTCTTTCATTTTTTACCGATTTGTCATTTTATTTATCTCGATCTCTTTCCTTTTTTGTCATCTTCTTTACTTTTCTTTCTTTTTTCTTTCTTTCTCTCTTTCTTTCTTTCTTTCTTTATTTTTCTTTATTTTTCGTTCTTTCTTTCTTTTTTTCTTTCTTCTTATCGAGATCTATTCTTTGATATTACTTTCTTTTTTGGCTGGAAATAGATCAAGATAAGAAGAAAGAAAGAAATGACTTCTTATCTTGATCTATTCATTCTTGTTTCTTTCTTTTTCGTTCTCTCTTTCTCGATCTTTTTTTCTTTCTTTCCTGATTTTTCTTTCTTCTTATGTCGATCTGTTTTTCTTTTTCTTTCTTTTTTTTCTTTCTCGATCATTTTCTTTCTTTCAGGAATATGGGGAAGTATTATTTTTTCTCTCTCATCATAAACTCATTTTTTTTACTTTCTACTTATGAAAATAATTCTTTCTTACGTTTTAAAAAAATCCTTCTCTTTTTCCCTCCTCCTCTTTTCTTTCTTTCTTTTTCTTTCCGATTTTCCTTTCTTTCTTTTTTATCTCAATCAATTCTTTCTCTCTTTCTTTCTTTCTTTCTTTTTCCCGATTTTCATTTCTTTATTCTTATCTCAATCTATTCTTTCTTTCTTTCTTTCTTTCTTTCTTTCTTTCTTTCTTTCTTTCTTTACTGATTTTCCTTTCTTTTTATCTATATCTATTCTTCCTTCCTTCCTTCCTTCCTTCCTTTGTTTCTTTCTTTCTTTCTTTTCTTTCTTTCTTTTTTTCTTTCTTTCTTTCTTTCTTTCCCGATATTACTTTATGTCTTTTTTTTTATCTCAATCTATTCTTTCTTTCTTTCTTTCTTTCTTTACTGATTTTCCTATCTTTTTATCTCTATCTATTCTTCCTTCCTTCCTTCCTTCCTTCCTTCCTTCCTTCCTTCTTTTGTTTGTTTGTTTGTTTGTTTGTTTGTTTCTTTCTTTCTTTCTTTCTTTCTTTCTTTCTTTCCCGAAATTCCTTTCTGTCTTTTTTATCTCAATCTATTCTTTCTTTCTCTCTTTCTTTTGATAACTTTCTGTTTCTTTCTTTCTTTCTTTCTTTCTTTCTTTCTTTCTTTCTTTTTTCATACCCTCTTGTTTATACTTTTGGTAGTAAATCCTGGACAATCTCCTCGCAGACAAAAAGTTTGGCTTGTTCTGTATTGTTTTACGGCTTGTCAACCACAATGGCTAATTTAATGCCGACAAGATTTTTATTGCTGGTAATATTTTCTTTTTGCCAAATATGTATTGTATTAAAACCTATTTTTACATAATTTTTTCGCCCCAGTTTGGGGTTTAACTATTTACTCATAGCTGGGATACTAACAGGTGCTACCAGCCCGGGTCAGGGTGGACCTTAGAACACCAGCAATTAAGTGGTGTTTCCAGGCTCCTCAAAACCTCCTGATCAGAGGCCTTGCTGCCGGATGTAATTTATCGTCTTACCCAGGACGGCGAAGAAGAGATTTGAGGTAAAAGAAAAGTGGTTCTACAGATTGCTACCGAGAATCCCATGGACGAAATATGTGCTCAACGCGAAAGGGTTGAGGAAAATGGAAACAAAATGAACACTTATTCTTAGAATCGGAAACGGACAGTTGAAATATCTCGGACATATAATAAGAAAAAAGGGTTTAGAGAATTTGATACACACTAGGCATAATGAAGATAAGAGGAGAATTAAGTAGAATAGCAAGTAACCTACTTAACAAGGGTGTGTGAATGGGTGGCAGAACAGCAAGCGGACGGGATGACGAAAAATGTAACCTTAGCAACAAAGAATAGGAAGTTGTGGGTATCATGATCACCCACGTCCTGAAAGAATACGACAAAGAATCTTATCAACCATTCAGTATCACACCATTTTTTTTCGGATAACTTTCTTTATTTCTTGTTCAAATTCCTTCCGCACTTATTCCAATTCCCTTTGTTAATACCCAGAAAAGTTTTCCCAAACAGGCATAAAGTTCTATAGAGACTCTTCCAGGAAACAGTCGAGATTTCTTAGTCTCTGTAAAAGAAAGCAAGTGTCTCAAGAACTCACGACCAATACAAAGAGGAAGGACGATACAACGTGTTTCCATTCTCTGGAATACTCCAAAGATCTGATACCTCTTTTCTCTGTCTTCTTCCTGCCTCTCTGTCTTTCCTCTCGCCATCTTTTTTGAAAGTCTGTTTATTCACTCTTGCTACCGTCATTCAGATCGTTCATTGAGAAAATAATAATCTCCACAACTCTTCTTCCTCCTTAATACAATTAGATTCCTCTGTGGATTTTAGGACCACAGTCTGACCACGTTATATGTTGCTGCTCTTGTTTCTAAAGCAAGTCGTTTTTTAAGGTATGTATTTCCTAGACCGACATTCAAACAGTTTTGAATCCAGAGTTATCCTTCTCCTAGACCGGTTGCCAATAAGGATAGAAAACATCTCTGCTATTTAACTCATAGCTGAGGGTAAGGAAGTGAAGGGCTAGATTCATACCTTTCCTTAGGAAACACAAAGAATTTGGACGGAATTTTATTTCGGCACACCGATTCCACTTTCTACGATCATAGCCACTACTTCTTCTTTATGTGCCGTGTCCCCTCAGGACGTAGACGACCATGGCTCTCCACAACTTCCTGTTCCTTGTAACTTAATAATTTTTGTCCTTCTATTATTTCTTCTAATTCCTCCTCTGCCATCCATTTACTCAAGTTCACTATGTTATGCGTTGTTGCCCTCTATCTGTCCCGTGAGCATCAGACTTTCCAAGCCTTCTTTCCTCATTATATACCTTAGAAACCTCAACTGTCTCTTCCTGATGTTAAGTATTAGTTTCCTTTTTGTTTCCATTTTCTCCAAAAGTTCGTCGTTGCTCACATGTTCGGTCTACGGTATTCTCAGCATCCTTCTGTAGAACCACATTTCTGTTGCTTCAAATCTCTTCTTCATCAACGAGGACATCGTGCAGCGCCCACTGCCTTTCAGGAAGACATATAACGCAACAGTTTGGTACTCTTCCTTATTTCTAGCGAAATGTTTCTATTTCTTAGTCCACTGCTTAGCTTTTGGGGGACATCTTTGACTATCGCAATAAGTCTTCGGATTTCAGTGCCACACCTTCTGTCCTCTGTTAAAATACTTCACAGATATATAAATTTCCGCACTTGTTTGATTTTGATTTGGTTTGGTTTGTTTTACAGCATATCAACCACAATGGGTTATTTAATGTCGACAATTTTTTTGCTGGTAATATTTTCCTTCCTAAATGTATTGGTGATAATATTTTTTCTCAAAAATGTATAGCTGGTAATATTTTTTTTTTTCAAAAATGTATTACTGATAATAATTTTTTACTGTGTATTTCTGGTATTAAAACCTATTTTTACACTTTCATTGTTTTTTGACTCTAGTTTGGGAGTTAACTATTTGCCCATAGTTGGAACCCTAACAGGTGCAACAACACCGGGTCAGGTTGGACCTGGGAACACCAGCAATTAAGAGGTGGTTCCACACTCCTCAAAACCTCCTGATCAGAGGCCTTGCTGTTGGGCGTAGTTTATCGTCTTACCCAGGACGCAGATGTAGTTTATCGTCTTACCAAGGACGCCGATGTAGTTTGTCGTCATATCCAGGATGCGGATGTAGTTTATCGTCTTACCCAGGACACAGATTTAGTTTATCGTCATACCAAGGAAGCGGATGTAGTTTATCGTCTTACCCAGGACGCGGATGTAGTTTATCGTCATACCCAGGACGCTTTGATTTTGGTATCTCCGACCTGTAATTTGCTCTTTAACCACATATTCTTGCTAGGAACCATGCATTCTGTCTTCTTGCAGTTGGTGTTTATAGTGTTTAGTCATTTCGTCTCGCTTTCCTTCACTATATTCTGTAGGAGATTTTGCAGCTTTTTTTCTGTGTCTGCTATCAACACTGTGTCATCTGAATACCTTACGCTATGCCCAAATTAAAAGAATGGAAATTAGCCAAATTCTTAGAAATTTTGGTACAGTACGTTCCATATTAAAGCTTATATAAACAGTTAAAAATGAATTTTCAGAATATAGATGCGATAAATAGGCATAGGGAATTATTTTAAAAAAACACTCAGTGTATTTTTGTACTTCAAATATTTGCAGAAGTACAAAAATACACTGATAAAAGGGATAAATTCTCGGAGGAAATTATTTTAAAAACAATCGGTTAATACTGGAATTTCAAATACTGGTAGAAGTAAGGATCATTGTTTCAGATTATCGAAGTGATAAACACGTATAGGAAATTATTTAATGTCTACTGGGGCAGTTTTTGTTATTCAAGTTCTGACAGAGTGAACTCTACTCAATTCACAATATTGATGACTCAAAAAAGATAAGGAATCTTCCTAAATCCATCTTTTTATTATTCTCTGGAAGAATTTGAAGACGCTCTAAATTTCCCGCTCTTTTTTTAGTCGACTAATTCACTCTTTCTTTTTGGATTTTTTTACGACTTTCTCTCTCTTTTTTTTTTTTTAACATCCTTTCACCCTGTTAACTTTCACAGTTTTCATGCTATCCCCACTCTCTCTTTCTCTCTCACTCTTTCTCTCTCTCTCTCTTTGTCATCACACCTTTCTCTCTTTTTTTAATACCCTTAACACTCATATTTTTCCTGCTATTACCCCTCTCTATTTATCTCACTCTCTTTCTCTCTCTCTCTCTTTTTCCCCCTTTCTCTCTCTTTTTCCCCTTTCTCTCTCTTCCTTAGTTTTTTTCTTTACACCTTTCTCTCCCTTTTAATATCATTTCATCCTATTTTCCTACTATTACTCCTCCCTATTTCTCTTTCTCTTTCTCTCTCTCTCTCCCTCTCTCTCTCTCTCTCTCTCTGTGTTTCTCTCAATCTCTTTTTGTCTTCATACTTTTATCTCCTATTTTAATACACTTTCACCCTATTAATGCCCTCATTTTCCTGCTATTCCCCCTCGCTCTTTGTCTCTCTTTCTCTCTTTTTATCTTCTCTCTTTCTCCCCCTTTCTTAGTTTATGTCTTTACATCTTTCTCTCCTTTTTAATACCTTTTCAACCCTCACATTTTCCTGTAATTCCCCCTTGATCTCTCGTTCTCTTTGTGTCCCTCTCTTACTTTTTCTCTACAGCTTTCTCTCTGTTTTTTTAATACTCTTTCATCCAAATATCTCTCACATTTTTCTTGCTATTCTTCTCTCTATATCTCTCTGCCCCCCTCTCTATCTCTTACTTCTTTTTCTCCTTTTTAATATCTTTTATTCTTACTACCTCTCACATGTTTCCTGCTATTCCTTTCTCTCTCTCACTCTTTGTCTCTCTCTCTCTCTCCCTTTCTTACTTTTCTGCTTTTACTCCTTCCTCTACTTTTTTAATGCTCTTTCACCCTACTACCACTCACATGCCTCCCCTCCACACTTTCTCTTTCACTTATGTTTTTCCCCCTTCCTCTCCTTTTAGTACTACTCTATCGTTTTCCTAATTTTCTTTTCTCTATCTTTTCCATTCTTACGTTCTTCCTCTTTTCTTTCCCGCTACTTTCTTTCTGTTCTCTCCCCTTTGATCGTCATTCATGTTTTTTTCCCCTAAATCTACCTTAACCCGAAAACCTCGCATATTTATTTTCCTCCTTAAATTTCGTGTCACTTTCTGTTTTTGTATCATTCCACGCGTTCCTCAACAGACCAAAATACCAACTCTCTTTTTTTTTTGTCATCCATCTGTCTCTCTTCCTTACTTTCCTCGCTTCTTGTCCTCTTATTTATTCTACTTCTTTTCTTTTTTAAATTCTTCCTCTCCTTGCTTCCCTTTCTGTCCCTATAATTTCGATCAACCGTCTTTCTCTAAACCAAAATCCCCCAACCCGCTTTTGCCGCCGCTATAGTCTCGTGCCAATTTCATTCTGCTTCTATTGTTAGCCAACGCAGGCGAAAATAGTTTGCACACAACAAACGAGGAAAACTGAGAAGACAAAAGCGAAGAAGTCAGGCTATTTTTAACTGTTTGCTTGCATCACAATTTCTGTTAAGTTA